TCTAGGCTGATCAGGTTAAAGGAACAATGTCGACCGAATGAACAATGGTGCAAAGAATTAGTGGGATATTACGAGTGAGAAGACAGATGGGAAATGGGTTCGGAACTTCAAAAGCAGTTTCGAACCCAGATCGACGAATTAGAGAACACTAAAAGCGCCCTACCAAAAAAGATGTCCTCGCAGTTGCGAATACGAAGAGCGGTACCTTTACTCGGATTCCTCGGAAGAATCACTAAGACCTGTAGCCGGTGTGCTGAACTATGATGATGGAGAACGGTACGACGCAGCCTTTCGGGATCTCAATGAAGCTCAGGCCAATTTGTCGCATTTAGTGGGACGACAAACCCATGTGGTCAGGTCCCAACTCGATACACTACATGCACGAGTCGATCAACACAACACTTTGCTGAAGGAGATGCAGGAGGAACTTCAGAACCTGCTCAGCTACACTAAAGAAACACCAAATTCAAAGGCTAACATGGAGCGAAGAAACCTTACATATGCTGTAGCCAGAGCATTGAGGTTAGGACTTGATCACAGCATTCAAGCAACCACTACTATGCTGCAAGCCGTCCATGAGGCCAGGCAAGGTCAACTTCACCCAAGCCTTTTTACATTGGAACAGCTGGAGCCCATTCTGAGAGAGATACAAGACAGTTCTAAGGACGTCAGCTTTCCCATACAAGGGCCACGGATTAGTATCGACGAACTGATGAAGATCTCCACTGTTACTATCATATGCGAAAATCAGCAACTGAAGGTCCTCGTTGACGTCCCGCTCATGGAAAAGTACAATTATCAAACATACCGAATACACTTTCTACCAATAATACAGGACGTGCTTAACAACGGCACTGGAAGAGCGTACGTACAATCGAAATACAATTACCTGATCGTGGACGAAGATCTGCGAACCTATCTGCTACTAAAGGAACAGGACTGGAATTCTTGCAAATTTACGGCAGCATACCATGCGTGTTTGAAGGGTACTCCAATTTATGAGTATCAGCTTTGACCCTCCTGCGAAGTTTCACTCCTGATCAACCAAACCAACGAAGCGCTTAAACTCTGCGACGTTCGACTAACCACAAATTTGGAGTCCTATTGGAGACCGTTGTCGACCTTGGCTGGATGGATATATTCTCTACCCATACCGGAAACCGTGACGGTTGTATGCTACTCGGTTGATCCTATTAAAATCCTTCTAAGAGGCGTTGGAATTCTAAAGTTGGCCCCCGGATGCTCAGTCAAGACGAAGGACCTACTTATTCCGGCAGCCACATCCCAAGCCGGGCAATCAGATGTAATATATGAACCCGAGCTGCACTTGAACCTCATGGAAATATCACCTGTGATTTCAAAGTATCACTACCTTCTGAAGGAATCAACACCCGTAGCTAATTAACAACTAGGATTGGAAGTGAAGATGTCTACCTTCAAAACCAACTCCAAAACACTAGACGAGCTGGAACAGGAACTACAAGAATTTGCTATCCAGAGGCACTCCAGGAGCCATCAATCCTTCCTTCTATATGGATGCTATGGAGGAATCGTGTTGTTGAGCTTACTTCTTGCTCTTTACCTGTGCCGATCACCATTGAAAAATGGCATCGATCAGCTGTCTCAATTGATATGCCCTAGATCGAAGACACAAAAGATTGAGGTTACCAGAGTCCGACGGAGGAGGTCCTTACAAAAACCCCATAGCTCAATCCAACCCTACGAGAAAATTGTCCTATCCCAGGATAAGGCCACCGGAACAATCGCAGCAATCGCAGTTGATTCATGCGAAATCCAAAAAGAGCAACAAAAGTCTGCGACATCTGAAGAATATGCCACACCGAAGATCAGATGACTGATGGAGTATGAGAAAATCGAACTTAGAGAAGAATTGGGGGATAATGACACCATACAATCGTCGGTAACGACAACTGAAGAACCGCCTAAGAAGATTATCTTGAAGACCAGAGTGAGACTCCCGAAGCAAGACCTTCAACCCGCTTGACCAGTTCGATAAAAAAAAACAAAAAAACAAAAATATATATATATATATATATATATCTAACGAACTCTTAATGGTTATTCAATTCTATACATTTTTTGTACACGTCCCTATATATACTGACTATCAACATTTTTCAAAATTATTATTCAATTACTAATATTTATATAACAATTTAAAGATGAATCTGACTTCATTTTCAATTCTATTCGTATTTCGAATGTCAATATAAATTGATGCTAAACACTCTATACAAAATTTTTACCAAACAACGTTTCGAAGCAATTCCTCGCACGTACAATGTAGGGACCTTATATTGTAATTGAAAGAATCACCAAATTTGAAGTAAAATTTATATAAGCAGAGTTAAATTTTACTATCATTATCAATATTCTTGCTCCTCTGAAAACGATAAAAAGAAGAAATCATATTATGCCTTGTTCCTTTCGAGTTCGTCTCCGTCGCGACTAGTTTTTGGGGACAAAAACGGAATATCCACGGTGGATTGTTACGGTAAAACCTAACAAATACCAAAATAATTAAAAAAAAAATAATAACAATAAATAAATAACCAATTAGACTAATAAAATTTCGCAAATTCTTCTTTCAAAATTATTTACAAATTACAAAAGGGCTTAGACAACTGGCCTTGCCACAAGGTACAAAAAGAAATTTGATACATATAGATAATGTCGAGTTGAGTCATCACTCTACTCCGCAAAGGAAAGGAACTCGGAAAAAGAACAATTAAAAACTTTTTTATGCTAAAAAAAACAGCAGTGGATTTTATTTAAAAAAAAAAAAATTTTTTTCTTTTAATGGTTTTCAGAATAATTTTGGCGCACAAAACCATGTATCGAACGTGCTGCCCATTCTTCTACATTAATTTGCTTTTATCTCTATTCCGAGCAAGAATATTCTCTTATATATATATGTATGTATATATATGTGTATGTATGTGTATATATATATATATATACATATATATACAGCTATGCTAGAAATTACAAAACCAAATTGTTGGTAAATGGGAAAAGTAACGTTAGTGTAACAATGTTACTTTGTCAATTTATTCAAACATTAATTGCGTACATATTGTAACATTGGTGTAACAATGTTACATTATATTAATTTTCTCTTGGGCATTTAATTATAAAAGGATTGTAGCATTGTTGCAACAATGTTACAGGATCAATTTTTAGACACTTAATTGCAAAATTGTAGCATTAATGTAACAATGTTACATTATTAATTAAAAAAAAAGGAATTTGATCACACATATTGTAACCTTAATGTAACAATGTTATATTATTAACTTTTATTAAGAATTGAAGTATATAAATTGTAACATTGATGCAGCAATGCTACATTTATAATATTAAGAACAATTAAAAATATTAGAATTTGTGGGAGATAAGCTTGGGACTTTATTTTTTTTTTGCTATACAAAGCCACATGGATTATGTCACTGTCCTCTAAGGAAGAATCATATGTATTTCTTTTACTTATGGGTCATTGCAGGCATAGAGCGAACGCAGATACACACACTATCATGGACTTTACGGTCGTAGCTAAGCTAAGTACATCGGTACCCGCGCGCTATACACCAATACTTGTAATTGCGATGCGTTCAGGGTCAGCCTCTGTCCATCGTCTCTGTTATCTCAATTCCCCTTGCTCCCCTCTGGGTCAGCCGGTCTACAAGCAACAATACCAAAACAAATGCACGTGCACTTGTCATATGGAACACAAAAATCTCAATCAAGAGAAAAGAATAGTAAAATAATATGACTATTTTCTATCATAGTGTGAAATGTGATATATACACATTTTACGGAGTGGAGTTTCTCTCTGAAATTTCGATTTGACTAAAACAGTAAAATCAAAAGTATTTACTGTTTCCTTTTATTACTACCTTAACCAGTTTGAAAAAAAAGGAATTTTTATAAATAAATAATAAATTTCTGGAACCATAATTTATAACTATGGTTGTAACAAAATGTCGTTCCAAGAAGGTGTCACGTTGCGTCTGGACGTTTTCCGTTCTCACACTAGCGGTGTGAGATCCAAAAACGTCAGCAAAAATGCAATGACCAATAGACTCAAGAGACTGTCCCTTCTACTAAAAATTCAAAATCCTAATTGCACTAAATTACCCCACCTAAATCCAGAACCGATGGTTAGAGGCTGGTCCGAGTGTTAAGATCATGGCAGTACAACTCTTGATCGCGAGTCAGCTCCAGGTTTCTGGAGGCATAAAAGTGATATAAGACGCCGGGACTTAGCCCGTCCGCGAATCGGTACCAATTTTGGAGGTCCACTACGGAGATAGTGACCAAATTTTGGGTGGACGAAAAACAGAATTGAACACTTCACGTCGGTGAAGTCCATCGGAAGACGCGTTCGGGAAAATTATTAATTCTCCAAATTTTGTTTTCGAACCGGCCAGTCCGCACGCGTGGTGCCTGCGCCGCTCGAGCCCGTTGGACCCGTAAAGTGCTTTCGCGCGCTACTTTGTCGAAAAGTGCAAAAACTTATTTAAAGGACAATTTTTATACACTAGTATAAAACAAAGACTTTTTTTGTGTGTGAAAATTTTCGTTTCGCCCGATGAGAGGCGACAATAAAATTGTAAGACTCGTCGGTATTTGTAAGCTGTGTGCAGGTTTAGCAATAGATGCAAAGCTTGATCGTCTTGTTCAGCAGGAATTGGCAAAATCGAATTCAGTTTTTGAATAGAATCGTCTGTCTCAACATTATGCTGTCAATGTCTCTTATCATCGAGCATTTCTCCTTTTTTCCTAATTTACCTTTCTTCAGCGCAGACATCACACGAGGTTCAGAAAGTTTAGGAATGTAATTTTCCATAGACGCCTTGTAAAAAAGAAAAAATTTATTTATTTACAAATAAATCTCTAGCCCTAAAGAAATATTAAATATAAAATTACAAATATTTATTTAAAAAGAACCTTACAATTTTCTTTCTTGAACTCGATGGTCAATTTTTCGATTCTACTAGTGGTGCTTTAGTATTTTTCTGTGGTGATCGGGAAGATGATTCTTCAAATGAGGATAAAGAATCGTCAGATAACTCCAAGTGTTCAGAAGATTTCTTGGAAAGTAGCGATTTACTAGGCAACGATTGCTGATCAACTGATTCTGACTCTGTAATATGTGAATCTGGTTCACTTAAATCATTTTCTGCTAAGACCTGACCAGCTACGTCATCAACTTCTGTAAATTGTGTTGTAAAATTTATTTATCAAAAAGTGCGAGTTTAGCGTGGGATGCGCGCAGCCTCCTTAGCATAAAAAATATAAAATTATTGAATAACTTTAAATATTATTAATCAGACAAACTGAAAACTGAGTACTGAAAACCTTAAGGAGTTACAATTTTTTGTGTGACTTTTTTTATAAAAAAAATTTAATTTAGGCTATGTAAGACTCATTTTAGAACGTATACAAACTGTAGAATTTTAATTTCATCTTACCTACAACTTCATGTTTCAAAGGAGAGCATTCACAATACCCACAGGTTGAGAACTTTCCTTCTTTCATTTCATATAAATCGCATTGCCCACATGAACATCTTCCTCTCGAAACGTTTTGCGGATCCAAATTACCTCTCATTATGGCGTTTTATTTAAATTTGTTTAAGTTATTTTTTTGTAAATGTTTAGATTTTAAAATTGAATCAAACGTAAAAGCTGCAAACTAAATTGATCCACGTTACACGCGGTATAAGTATTATTGAATTAAAATTTATTTTTATATAACTTGATAAAGTACATGTAACCAACAATGTATAAATCACCGACACATTGTTTAATAAATATAAAATTCTTTCCTTCCGATTTGTGGCTGTGGTAGACATTATGTCCAATAATGTTTTCAGGTGTGTAACATGCATAAATTTCGGATCTTTCTATTTCATAAGACATTAGTCTTAAATTGTGACAAACAGTAGAAACTTTTTTGCAGACAAAAATGGGTAATGCATCAGTCAAGACAATTGCAATTAATTCCGCAAAAACAGGAAGGTATTCTGAACTATAGTCCACTGGAATGTAACATTTATTGAAAACGTATTTTGTCCCATCATAATTGATCCAAGGAACTATTTCCAATGCTAAATCATTTGGAAACATTTCGTCAAAGTCTACTCTGTGAATAGAAGTTAATCTTCTTGGTCCGTGAGTAATCCTTTTCAAAAGAGGCAATTGAAAAATCCATGCTTGATACAATTGATGACGCTCCGACAATGTAAAAGGCAGATTTTTGTAGTTACGCATAGTTTGCACTATTCTTTTGAAAAATTGATGTTTGGCTTCCATACGCATACACCAGAATGCGACAAGTGGGCCAAAGTCCTTCACATTTCGAGGATGATGTAAGGAGTAATGTTGCTTCGGGATTAAATTTCTCAAAAGAGAAACATTGTCTTCAACGTTAACTTCTTTATATAGATCTCTGAAGGATTCTAAATATTCTTCCGTTATATCCATTAAGTAATCGAGCATTCCTGTACTGATCGAAGTTCCAAATATAATTGAAATTATTTCCAATAACTGTGAATAATTCTCAAAATACGGACAATTTTCCTCAATGACATCCTGCACTACAAATGGTATGATAAAAGCCAATAAAAACATTTGACTCGCATTTTGATGCATGTTATTGCCAGGAACAAGATGCTGAGATTTAATTGTTGATGGTTTGGATGACAGTTCATTGTATCCGTAATCAAAGTTCTGAATTCTGTCGTTAATTACACTTAAAGGTAATTTCTTGAGTACAACTTTTTGCATTAAAAGTTGTAAAGTCAGTATAAGATCTCCGAGCAAATGGTCATGAACAATATCATGAGGAGCACTCCGCGTTGGGTCGACTTTAAAAAGCTCTGTTAGTGAGCATCTTCAATTTATTCCATATTCTGTCGATAAACGTTCTTTTTCTCTTCCTTCAGCTTCTTCTATTTCAGCAACTTGTTCCTCGTGTTGTTCAGGAGTTCTCAACAAGCTTTCATCTTCTTGTGTCATTTGACGGACCTGTTGAAGGGTTGCCATACAATCCCGACACGGACGATTTGCAGTGAAGTCTTCTTTTAAACCGCATAGCATATGTACACCTAAATTATCTCCCTGGATTGCAAATAATGCTCCGAAAATTTTTTGGCCATTAGGAAGGATAATTCCTTTTTCCAACAGTTTTAATTCTTTTATTAGTGGTTCCAAAACTTTGTTTATGCCATACTTCTTTATATCGGCATATTTAACAATAGCGGCTAAATTTATGAACTTTAATTCGGACCGATACTTGGGATGAATATTTCCTATCGCAAATTAAAACATTCCTAACTTTTGATCACCAGAAGACTTGGATCCTAAACCGTCGCACATATCTACCTCATCGTAGTAAAGAAAAATGCGTAATGCATCAGGTTTTTCTTTGAAATATTCGTGATTCATAAAGTGACAACTATCTTCATAGGACGAATAAACATTTTCCTTTAATACATGATTATACAATAATTGGTCCCAAGATTCATTTGTCACCCACTATTTTATAACCGATGTTAATGGAACGTACATCATTTCATCCTTTTTAGTTTTAGTTATACGATCCCCTCCACAAGCAGCACCCCTATACTTAATAAATTTTTTTCCTAAGACGTATCTTATTGGTTTCACGATGTTGAATTCAGGTTCCAAATATTGATCTCGCTTTCGACGTTTGTCCAAATCATGAATGCAATCTAGAGAATTTACTTTTTCTTCTATGTTTATCAAATCCGTTAAATGAATACCTGTTCTATCTGCAATGACATTATCTACCTCTAGTAGTGTTTCACGAACATGTACTTGAACAACATTTTTCAAATTTAATAAAAGGGAATTTATATCACTTTCTGATAATGTAGATGTTGCTCTCAATTCTAGTAAAAATTTTTCGATTGACTTTTTCTTTTCACCATTCGCAACATTAACTTGAATTAAATTGGGATTTTCATTGTTACCTTCCTCTTCACTATCTTCACTACTATCGTCATCACTAATATCTTCACTTTCATATTCTTTATCTAAACTATCTTCACCATTAACGTCATCACTAATCTCTTCCCTTTCATATTCTCTATCTATATTCATTCCATCTTCTTCATCTCTAATATTTCCTACATTTCCTACTCTAGCTTGTGCATTTTGATTATTTTCAAAATTAGCATTTTGCTGATCTACATCCATTGATTCTGGCTCAAAAACATTATCTACTCGACGATCGCCTCTTAATTTGTGCAATCTCGAAATATGTGAACGTAAAGTAGAATAATTATGAAACCGAGATGGACAAGTAGGACATTCCAATTCAAAATCAGGTTCATTTAAGTGTAAATGGACAAGATATCTATTCAACTCCACAGTAGAATGAAAATCTTCCCTACAAAATTGACATCGCTTCAGTCTATTTTCATCCATTTTTTACAATGTGCAATTGATGTAAAAATTTAAATATAGAAGACAAAAGTGACTTTAATTTTTGCCAAAATCCACGAAACATTAATTGATTTAGACCATTTCTTTTCTTTGTCGCTTTTTGAAAACATTGTAAACTGTGAAGAATAAAACATAGTTAAAATATTTATTCCCAGATAGAACACAAGCTTGTCTGAGCTAGCAAAATGTCCCACCCATGGCAAGATTGCCAGGAAAGGTTGCTGCAATCTTGCCAGGAAAGATTGCTGCAAGTTTACTGCAATCTTACCATGAAAGCTTGTTGCAAGCTTGCTGCAACCTTACTAAAAATGAGTTCGGCAAGCTTGTTGTGAAAGCTTGCCAAATATTTCTAAAATATTTTCTATATATAAAAATATTTTTTTATTTATTTTATATATAGAAAATATTTTACAAATATTCGGCAAGCTTGCTGCAAGCTTTCGGCAACGTTACATAGCAATCTGTCACAGCAAGCTTGACGAAATCATTTTAGTAAGGTTGCAGCAAGCTTTTATGGCAAGCTTGCCATGGGTGGGACATTTTGCAAGCTTGTCAAGCTTACATGGTAAGCTTGCATGGTAAGCTTTCTGCAAGCTTGTGTGCTATCTGGGTTCCTATCTCATCGAACAAATTTTTAAGTTGATAACATTATTAGGACTATTTATGTCATTTTAAATAAATATACAATAACAAATACAATAAACTAAGATATCAAAATTAACAACACATGGCAGAAGCACTGGAATTTTCTAGGTTCAATATTGTCTCCACTATGGAGACTTCGTTACAAGGCTCAAGTTTGGCTCGAGGCTTAGATATGGCTCAAGACTCGACTTTGGCTCGAGGCTTGAGTTTGGCTTAAAGGTTAAGTTTGGCTCGAGGCTTTAGTTTGGCTCAAAGGTTAAGTTTGGCTCGAAGATTAGATATTGCTCAAGCCTTGACTTTGGCTCGAGGCTTGATTTTGGCTCGAGACTCAAGTGTGGCTCGAGGCTAGAGTTTGGCTCGAGGCTTAGAGTTGGCTCAAGGCTCGAGTTTGGCTCGAGCTTCAAGCTTGGCTCGAGGCTCAAGTTTGGCTCGAGACTAAAGTTTGGCGCGAGACTCAAGTTTGGCTCGAGGCTAGAGTTTGGCTCAAAGGTTAAGTTTGGCTCGAGGCTTAGAATTGGCTCGATGCTCAAGTTTGTCTCGAGGCTCAAATTTTTTTCGAGGCTAGAGTTTGGCTTGAGACTCAAGTTTGGCACGAGGCTCAGGTTTGGTTCAAGGCTCAAGTTCGGCTCGAGGCTCAAGCTTGGCTCGAGGCTTAGAATTGGCTCAAGGCTCAACTCCGGCTCAAAGCTTGAGTTTAACTCGAGGCTCAAGTTTGGCTCGAGGGTGGAGATTTAGGATTTTGTTATTATAAATAACGAATTATAATTAAAAATTAATGTTATAATGTTTGAGAAACATTTCAAAATTCATTTATTGATTTAATTGTTATTTTGTTCAATTTTTTAAAAACTTTTATTTTATTTTTTTTAATTTTCAGTTCATTTAATTTTCAAATTTTCTCTGATGTAAAAATTTTTTCCATCACACTTTTTTGACTTCCTTGACAAGAAAAATTTTTCCTGACATTTCCCTGACTTTTCTAACTTATGGCAACCCTGACCTAAGGTTTGCTAATACTTAGGCAATACCTAAAGATGTATACTTCTTAAATTGCCAAAATAGAAAAAATTAAATTTTTTACATGTAGTTTGTCTCTGATTAGGAAAACCATCTAAATTAAATTATGTTAAATCACAAATTAGAAAAAATCGTTTTTTTTATTATGTTTCGTTCATGTGTTGTCAATATCTCAATGAATATATTTTGTTTGATAACAAGATAGAAAATGTGTATTTTTTGCCTATTGTTTGATCATGTTTTAACTTAACAATAGAATTCTAATTTTTTCAATAGCAAAAGTAGAACAAAATTATTTTAATTCCATGTATTTAAATTTCTTTATTACATTTAATCGTAAGTCAGTATTTCGTTTTCTATTTCGGTTTTTTCTTTGTATTCTTATAGTTAAATTTAATTAGGGAGAAACTTGATGATTAACAAAAAATGCTATTAATTTTGAGTTAGAATTTTTCAAACTTTCAAACTTCAAACAAATTTTTTAATAAGCTACACTTTTTAAAAAGTTATTTTTTCAACCTTAAATTATTTTCTTTATTCCTAGAGAAATCAACATGAGTATCTGAAATTTATAACAGAGAAATGGTTTTGTCTAATTTATTTATTTTTTTTTTGAAATATAGTTTACAAAATTATTTTGTGTTTAACATTTTTTATTTAAATTTAATATTCCACGTACATTTTCCAGTATAAAACCATCAAGAAAAAAAAGTGACTCAACAAAAGATAAGTTAATTAACAACAATTACATATTAGTAGAATTTTTAAATAAATAATTATTGATTAATATAATTTATTAAAAATAATGCAAAATTACAGCGTTCAACCTTGTAGTATCTTTACATGTACTAATGATTAATAAATAATAATTAATACTTATTAACAATAAATAATATTCATTATTAATTATTTATAAACACTATAGATAAACAATTATTTTAATTAATTTACTTTTTGTTTAGTGAATTTTTTATTAACACAGATAACACAGTTTTTTATTAACATTTTATAAATAAACAATTTAAAAAAGTATTTAAATAAAAATATTTTTTTAAACTACATTTCATAACAAAGAAAAATACTTTTTTGATTTTTAAATCGGTCAACTGGATTGCGAGAAAAAAAATTTTATGTTTAAGACTATGTTAACACGGTGTCTAGCAATTTGGCAGTTCAGAATTCCCGGTTTTTCCCTGGGTTTTTAACCCTTTGCGTCACAGTGGGTCGCTCAGCGACCCACCTTTGGTTTTTCACTATATTACAATTATATTTCATATGAATTCGCTTGAAAATCGTTACTCGGGGGTTTTCGGGGTCGCTGATTACGAATCTGACTTTAGTTTTTAAAAATTCAAAATGGCCGATCCAATATGGCGGACATAAAAGTTAAAAATTAACTGAATTCTCTTGAAAATTGATACTCGGGGGTTTTCGGGGTCGCTGATTACGAATCTGATGTCAGTTTTTAAAAATTCAAAATGGCGGATCCAATATGGCGGACATAAAGTTGAAAATTGACTGAATTCGCTTGAAAATCGTTATTCGGGGGTTTTCAGGGTCGCTAAATACGAATCCGATATCAGTTTTTTAAATTTCAAAATGGCAGATCCAATATGGTGGACGAAAAAATAAAAAGTCAAAGCATTCGCTTAAAACTCGTTACTCGGGGGTTTTCGGGGTTGCTGATTACGAATCTGATGTCAGTTTTTAAAAAATCAAAATGGCGGATCCAATATGGCGGACATGAAGTTAAAAATTTACTGAATTCGCTTGAAAATCGGTACCAGGGTTTTTCAGGGTCGCTGAATACGAATCTGATGTCAGTTTTAAAAAATAAAAAATGGCGGATTCAATATGGTGGACATGAAGTTGAAAATTGACTGAATTTGCTTGAAAATCGTTACTCGGGGGTTTTCAGGGTCGCTGAATAAAAAAATAAAAATAGAATTTCAGAATTTTAAATGTTT